CCAAGAAAAAACCCTCATCAACAAAGAGAACTTCGGGAAGTTTTAGTAGTTAAAGCATGTTACATGCCTCTTAGAATCCAAAAACATATTGTGAAAGAAATGGACCTTGAGCCTAACTCAAAGCCAAAAGCTAGCTCATGAGATGAGGATTGCAAGGCAATATACCATGGAACCCTCATTCCACTGATGTGGAGCACGTTCAGGACAAGACATCTGGATCATGAACAATATAATATGGGGTCCCAACATCGGATGAAACAAGAATTGGGTAGTCCTGGCTCTGATACCATGTGAAAGAATTGGACCTTGGACCTAACTCAACCCCGAAAGTTAGCTCATATGGTGAGAATTGCCCAATACCATATAAAGAGACCATGAAACCCTCATCACACCAATGTGGGAACTCAACAGAAATAATAGTAGGAAACAAAGGTGAAAAAGTTCAAAGGTTACGAAAATGGTTAACACTCCACACTGAAGACATCTGAATATATCAAACTAAAACAAGAAAAGGAAAGCTAGCCTTATTGTATACGGTCAAAACGGGCTTGCCCTTCGTATGACTAATCAATTTCAATATCAATTTACATATTTTCTCAGTTTGTGCCAAGTAAAATCACGTGTCCTTAAAACCACGTATAAATTCAATTGTTATCCGTTCTTAGGGTAAACACTTATAATGGATAAAACAGGAAAACTTCATTAGAAACTAATTTGAAACGACAAAAACCAGAGAACCACCAAAAAGGAACCATGTTACAAGGACTCTGATGATCACTATTAGCAAGATATTTGTGTATGTATATTTAAGGACACAAACAAGGTCTGTTGTCTATCCATCATGGGTAAAACACTGGAGTTTGTGTGGGTGTCGGAGGAAATTTCAGGGTCCTAGTAAAGCAGCAAACAACTGAGGCAGTTGAGAGCGGAAAAATAATATAAAACTTTTTGCTTATCAGATGACCCTAAAGGGGCAGAAAAAGAATTTAAATCAGAAAACAAAATTATAACACGAGGAAGCATCGTCAAACTTGATAGGTTCAAAGTTTCTTGAAAGTCAAGACAAAAATTCACAATAGGAGGAAGAAAAAAGCAAGATCCTAAAAAAAGAAGTAATGGAGACCAGAAAGAGAAGAGTGGACAAAAACTAGTAGCTAGATGAAACAAGTGTCGCCAATGCAATAAAAAGATATATAAAAGGTAACCTTGTTTGCTATACTGAGCACGTAGCTCAGACATGGAGAACACATACCAAAATCATATTGTTCCTTCAATAAATTTTAACTAGTTGTTATCTTCAAGATATTTACACCATATATGAGTTAATCAACAAAACATAATCTTAGTGCCAAATTATTGAGATATATATTTAGACGAGTGACCATGCTCATAAAATCAATCACTGTAACCTTTTGTAACGACCCGACCGGTCGTTTTGTGTATTGTACTCCCGTTCCCCTATTTATTGCCTCTTCTATGTTCTTTTGTGGTTATGTGACTTGCCGGGGTGGTTGGTTTGGTTTCGGGGAAGTGTTGGAGTGAATTGGGACACTTAGTCCCAAGGCTGGAAGTTTAAGTTGAAAGAGTTGATCGGAGTTTGACTTTTGTGTAGATGGCTCCGGAATGGTGTTTTGATGATTCCAATAGCTTCATATGGTGATTTGGGACTTAAGCGTATGTCCGAATGTTGATTTGGAGGTCCCTAGGTTGATTTGGTGCTTGTTGGCGAAAGTTGGAAAGTTGAAGGTTTGGAAGGTTGAGAGGTTTGACCGGGAGTTGACTTTATTAATATCGGGTTCGGATTTTCGTTACAAGAGTCGGAATAGGTCTGTTGTGTCATTTAGGACTTGCATGCAAAATCTGAGGTAATTCGGAGTTGATTTGATATGGTTCGACATGAGTTTTGGAAGTTGAAAGTTCATTAGTTTCATTAGGCTTAAATTGAGGTACAATTCGTGCTTTTGGTGTCGTTTGGTGATTTGAGGCTTCGAGTAAGTTCGTATTGTGTTTTAGGACTTGTTGGTATGTTTGGATGGGGTCTCGGGGGTCCCGGGCGTGTTTCGGATGGGTTTCGGACCATTTCTCCATGTTTTGGCATAGCTGATTCTGATGTATGGTTTTCTTCTTCACAATCGCGGAAGGGTTGTCGTGATCGCGTAGTGTATTTTTGGAAGGCAGGCGGGTTGTTCTTTGCGTTCGCGAAGTGGTAATCGCGTTCGCGATGGTTTTGTATGTAGTTGCCTTCGCGATAGCGTTATGGTCATCGCGTTCGCGTAGAAGGTAGGTCGGCTGGGGGCAGCTGGCTATAAGCCTTCGCGGCAGCTAAGCTATGCCCGCATTCGCGTAGTGTCCGAGTGTGTTTTGCTTCACGTTCGCATCCTGGGCCTCGCGTTCGCGTAGGGTCTTTTGAGAAGCTAGAAGTTTGTTCTTCGGGATCGCGAAGATGTGGACGCGATCGCGAAGGTATGCCTGGGCGGAACGTTTTAAATACTCTATTTCGAGGGTTTGGTTATTATCACATTTTGGATTAGACAGCTCGGTTTTGGGCGATTTTGATGGGGATTTGAAAAGGGGTAAGTATTTTTTACTCGGATTTGTTATTATTTCATGATTCCATCATTGTTTTTAGAATTTAATTGGTGATTTAAAGTGAAGAAATTGGGGATTTTAGTAAAACCTTTCCTAAAGTATAAAATGAGAATTTGAAGATCGATTTAAAGTCAGAACTGGATGAAATTGATATGGTTGAACTCATAATTGAATGACTGTTCGGAATTTGTAAGTTTGACCGGGTTCCGAGATGCGGGCCCGGGTTGACTTTTTGATTTTGATAAAGATCGAAGCTTTATTGTTCGAAGTTGTTTCCTACAGCATTATTTGATGATATTAAGTTGTTTGTGAGCACCCTCACAAGGTGGGTTGCTCTGATGGTAAGCACCATCCACTTCCAACCAAAAGGTTGTGAGTTCGAGTCACCCCAAGAGCAAGGTGGGGAGTTCTTGGAGGGAAGGATGCCGAGGGTCTATTGGAAACAGCCTCTCTACCTCAGGGTAGGGGTAAGGTCTGCGTACACACTACCCTCCCCAGACCCCACTAGTGGGATTATACTGGGTTGTTGTTGTTGTTGTTGTAAGTTGTTTGTGACTAGATTCGAGTCATTCGGAGGCCGATTCGCGTGGGAAGGGCTTTTTGGAGTATTGAGTCCCTCGTTTTGAGGTAAGTAACATATCTAAACTTGGATTTGAGGGCATTTAACCCTGGGAACTATGTTATACGAAAGGTATTGGGGTGACGTACGCACTAGGTGACAGGCGTGTGTGCGTGCACCGGTATGTTCATGATTTGAGGTGCCTTTTAGACTATTATGGGATTGGTTTGCTATCGTGCCTCGTCCTATCCATGTTTCTAAACATGTATGATTATTTGAGTTCTGATTCATGTTAGAAATCATGTCTAGGCTATGTGCTATTTGTTTGGGACTTGATAAGGCTATTCTTGTTGTTTATGAGCTATTTGCCTTAATAGTACACATGCTCTCAATCATGATGCTATATCCGTGTATGATATATCTGTCTCAGTACTTTCTTATTTGATTCCTCACATGTTGTTTGATGCCTCATATGTGTAACATTGTTGAATTGAATACTGGGAGATGTGGTTAACTGAGACTTGACCAGTTGATGACTGAGCATGAGCCATAGAGCCGATTGGTATTGATTTTGAGGTGACGCGTATGCCAGGCTCATATAGAGCTACGTGTTAATGATTTGGGGCGACGCATGCACCAAACCTCACTATTGGGCTATATGATTATGATTAGTGCTTGGGCAGAATCCTCCCCTCCTGAGTCTGACATGCCAGCAGTGGGCACAGGCACAGGCACAATGTTTTATATACGTGCTTGTTGATGGGCAGTTATGCCAGGCACCCGTACAATGCCAGGTGTTGATGTGTGGTTAATCTTAATGGTTTCACTGTGATATTGTTGATTTGACATATATATTTGACATGTAAGCATAGAGATGTACCTTCCTCATGCTAGCTGGTAAATGAAGTGTCTTGTCTGTGTTGGGCTTAAACTGTTATACTTGGAAAGCATGCCTAAATTTCTGAAATGTGAACAAGATGAACATAATATCATTGAGTTACCTGCTTCTATTGTTTCCTTTATATTCGGAATTCTTACTGGTTATTGATATTGGTCTCTGACTGCTGTTTCTTAGCTCGTCACTACTTTCAGCCCAAGGTTAGTGTTATTACTTATTTAGTACATGGGGTCGGTTGTACTCATACTACATTCTGCACTTCGTGTGCACATCCAGGTACTTCCGGACGAGGTGATCTCTAGAGTTCTGTTGCTACAAGCTTTTGGGAGACTACGAGGTAGCTGTTATACCGTCCGCAGACCTTGAAGTTCTCTTTCATTATTTCTGTTATTACTTCTACTATTCAAACAGTTGTATTGAAAATTTGGCCTTATATTTTGATACTCAGTAGTGCTCATGTACGCGTTGACACCAGATCTTTGGGATGGTTGTAGCAGTATTGTTGTTGTTTTCATGAGATATTTCATGATAATTCCATTATTGAGCTTATTAAACCATGTTTATCCAAATTTGTTGTGTTTGTGTGACTGTTGGCTTGCCTAGCAAGTAGTGTTAGGCGTCGTTGCGGCTCCGGTGGGAGTTGGGTGGTGACACCTTTTGCACAGGATCTCAAGTACATAAGATTGTTGTTGAAGGGAAAAACTATCCTAGTAAGAGCTACTAAGGCAAAAGTACATAAGACAAAATATAAGAAATGCACTTGTGCAAACATTTAATGGGAAGTGCATGGGGGTTACTATCAGTAAACTCCTTAAACCATGAAAGAAGAAGTGCTATGAAGTTTAATTTTAATTGAAGTGCTTAATTGAAAAGCAATCGCATAGCTCTCTCAAGTTATCTGAAGAAAATTAAAAACATATCAGCAAACATTAAAGTTCTGGGTGATAGACTTACATTCCAGCATTCTTGGCTGCAAGGACACCTGAGGGCGCATCCTCAAATACAAGAATCCTCTGTGGATCTACTGGTCCACCCTGTCCATGTTAAACTTTAAATATACAGCTCATAGACATCCATGATATATCATACTTTAATTATACCGACCATACTTCTAACTTTCCATTATCTGAAGGACTCAATTCTAGTTTTACTAATTACATCTAACTACCTCAGCATTGGTGACCAAAATCGGTGTTAATTTACATTTTTTATTCCATGAAAACTTGTACAATCAAATAAAGTAGTCTTTTGTCTAATTTTGGGAACAAATTAAAGTTGCTTTTTTGTAGTCAAACATCCTAGTTTCCATCATGAATCTTTTAGATGTTGTACACTTTCTGCTTCAAATTGAGCACCCACCTTCTAATTTTAGTTCATCCCAAAATAGTGGACTTCCTAAAAAGAGAACTTCTTAAACATACAACAACAACAACAACAACCCAGTATAATCCCACTAGTGGGGTCTGGGGAGGGTAGTTTGTATGCAGACCTTACCCCTACACTTGGGTAGAGAGGCTGTATCCGATAGACCCTCGACTTCCTCCCTCCAAGAACTCTCCACCTTACTCTTGGGGTGACTCGAACTCACAACCCACTTCTTAGACATACTATACCATAATGTCCCCATTTTTTGTTCTTTTTAGATTCTCCATCTATCCAAAGTTTTTCGATGCTGACTTTTCAATAATCAAACTACATTTTGTTCAAACATAACTTTAGATAAACTTATATTCACATAAGAGAATCTTCTTCTACATGAATAGCCTTTTTCTCAAAAAAAAAAAAAAAAAGCTTTTTTCAAAGTTAAAATGTTTGGCCAAGCTTTTAGAAGGAAAAAAAATGTTTTGGAGTAGAAGCAGAAAAAAGTAGCTTTTGTCTAAAAGCACTTTTTTGAAAAATATTTTTGAGAAAAATACCCTTAGAAGCACTTTTTAAAAGCTTGGTCAAACACTAATTGCCACTCAGAAGTGTTTTTCACATTAATTAGTCAAACACAAACTAATATTCATCAAAAGTACTTTTGAGAAAAGCACTTTTGAAAAAACGCACTTATCAAAATAAGCTTATTTTTGAAGCTTGGCCAAACAAGCTAGTATGCTCGACACATAATTCATCATTTTTGTCGTTTCATAATAAAAGTATTTTTATAGTTCGGCCGTAAAATGGCTCGGACACGCCTCAATCTCTATCACTGAGAAGCGAGTTTCGTCAGAGAAAGAAGGTCCTTCTAGTTCTATCTAGAAGCAATCTAACTAAATAATGATTTTGATTTAAGAACTAGCTTAACCATAGTTTACGACAACGAGAATATAAATTAATTTGTACTAACATCGCAACTAATTAGTGATGTGAACATCAATTCTCATCTATAACAACAACAAACCTAGTGTAATCCCACAAGTGGGGTCTGGAGAGGGTAATGTATACGCAGACGTTACTCCTGCTTTGTGGAAGTAGAGAGGTTGTTTCCGATAAACCCTTGGCTCAAGGAATAGTGACAAGGAAGCAACCAACAATAATAACAAGAAAAAAACAAAGACACAACATATAATAACAAAGATCCAGAGATAAGAAATACAAGAATAGTAGTAATACTACTGGTAAGAATGACACAACGTGTAATAAAAAGATCTAGGAACAAGAAAATATAAGAATATTACTAATACTACCGGTAAGACTAGGAGAAACCCTCGACTACCTATCAACCTTCGACCCTAATTCTAGACCTCCACACCTTCCTATCGAAGGTCTTGTCCTCGGTAAGTTTAAGCAATTCCATGTCCTACCTAATCACCTATCCCCAGTACTTCTTTGGCCTACCTCTACCCTTCCTTAGACCCGTTATGGTCAACCTCTCACAGCTCCTAAATAGAGCGTCTATGTCACTCCCCATCACATGCTCGAACCATCTCAGCCTCAATTCCCGCAGTTTGTCTTCCGCATGAGTCACTCACATCTTGTCCCTAATAACTTCATTCCTAATCTTATCTTTCCTAGTATGCCCACACATCCATCTCAACATTTTTATTTCTGCTACGAATCTTCTGGACATGGGATTTCTTGACTGGCCAATATTCAGTACCATATAACATAGTCGGTCTAACTACCACTCTGTAGAACTTGCCCTTACGTTTTGGTGACACATTCTTATCACATAAAACACCATATGCAAGCCTCCATTTCATTCACCCCGCTCCAATACGATGTGTAACATCCTTGTCAATCTCCCCATTGCCTTGGATAACAAACCCAATATATTTGAAACTATCTCTATTGGGGATGACTTGTGTATCAAGCTTCACGTTCGCATCTGCTTCATACGTCCCATCACTGAACTTGCACTCCAAGTATTATGTTCTGGTTCTACTCAACTTATAACCTTTAGACTCCAGGGTCTATCTCCAAACTTCCAGCCTAGCGTTGACCCCGCAACGTGTTTCCTCAATCAGCACTCTGTCATCTGCAAATAACATACACCATGGCACCTCCCCTTGAATGTGTCGTATCAACACATTCATCGCCAGAGCAAATAAAAGGGGGCTAAAAGCTGATCGCTTATGTAACCTCATCATCACTGGAAAATGTTCTGAGTCTCCTCCCATAGTCCTCACCCGAGTTTTAGCACCATCGTGAAGACAATAGTGAAGCACGATGGCAGCATATCCCAATTCAACCATATTTCTGGAGATGGTTGTTTCTGTTATAAAATATGGATCTCGCCAAGTAAGCGAATTGAATTAGCCTTGATCCAAAATCATTTCAAAGTTCTAAGGGAAAAGAAAGGTGAAAGTAAATAACATACTACTGAAGCTAAATATAGGTGGAACAACACAGATTCATTGAATTCTTTGGTTCAGATGGAGAATCAAACCAAGATTGATTTCTACAAAGCTTACGAAGTGAACATCGACTACTAACGACATGAATATTGCAAGAACTTGCCTCAAAATAAAATGGAAAAAGTGATAGGAGGGGAGTTCATAGACGAAGACTATAGGAACTTGCTGGACCAGAGGAAAGCTATGATAGAAATTGGTGAAGGCTTAGTGGTCAATGAAGTAGGTGAGAACTGAGGTCTTAGGTTCAAATCTCAGCGGAGGCAAAAACAATAGGTGATTTTTTCCTATCTATACAAGCCTTGATGGACAGAGTTACCTAGTATCGGTTGCTAGTGGGAGGTGGCAGGTATCCCGTGGAATGAGTTGAGGTGCGCGCAAGCTGGCCTGGACACCCCAGTTATCAAAAGAAAAAAATTGGTGAAGCACCAGGACTTGGCGTCGACATAAGCCTCATTATTAAGCAATAATAACAACAACAATAATAAACCAATGTAATTTCACAAGTAGGGTCTGTTGAGGGTACTGTGCAGGTGGTGTTAGCTGGGTGTCAGTCACGTCTCGGGGGTAGTTTGGGACGTGACATTGTTGTTTCCATTAATAGATACATTGACAAGTTCAGGGATGACTCGTTCATCCATCACCAGTTGACAATATTGAACCTTTTGAGAGCATAAAGAAAGAAGAAAAGCCACTGCATGCTCCCGGTCATTGCGATTGTAACTTTAGAGCAGTTTCACAAGTGAGGCAATGCATCCATCAGTTTCAGCTATTGCAATTCTAGCATCTTCATTGATTCATAAGTTTTGCAAAATAATAACACAATCTCTTGCAAGAGCTCTATCCTCAAGAAAAGGAACCAACTTGGGAAACAACTCCGAATGTGCAATCAAGGAACCAATTTTGCTACTTTTTGACATGTTGCATAATATTTTGATGGTTGATGCCTGTAATTCCCTTCCGTGGGCCCTGATTGAGTGTTGGTCTACTTAGATTGAGAATGAGGGAATGGGGGGATTTAGGGGGGTTCAGATGGGTAGGTAACTAAGTTGGGTCGGGTTGGATTTAATTAAGGGAAAAGGTTCAAATTTACACCTCCACTTTTGAATATTGTCTACATTTAACATATGTTATACTATTCGGCCAAATTTACCTCTACCGTTATACTATCCGGCCAAATTTATCCCTATCATCAAAAAACTTTAAAAAATTACCCCTCAGTCCGTCAGGCGACCCAGATTCTCCCAAATCATTTTAGTTAAGTTACTTATTCTTCTTCTTGATCCACTATTTTCAAAGTAGTTGGCATTTACCAACGTTCTTAATTGGAAAAAAAAAGAAATAAGAGAATAAAATATTAAAATAATGTTGCGGTTAGTAAACAAAGTATATTAAATTGAAGAATCTAAATTAGGTAGCTTGTCAAAATTTCAAAAGTATTTACAACACCCCAGCTTTAATGAATTCGTTCTACCAAAGGTATGAAGACTTTGCAAGTATTAGTGATAGAAGTTTTAGTTCCTTGGAGATTTTGCATTGCAGAATTCAGCTTTGCTTTAATCAAATGCCTACGCGTTGTGCACTATTAAGTTAATCGACCGAACTCTATAATAACTAGACAATTACAAAGTATATTCGAATATATATGTACATACATGATGAGCAGCCGCATATAATACATAACAAATGGATCCATAGAAATTTGCGGTGTGTATATGGTTGAAGAATTATAAAAATTTTAAATCAATTCCAAAATCATTATCATAATAAGGGAAGTGGGTGCAATGGTAATTAGAAATATCCATGAATAATTTGTATAGTTGAGTACCTTTAGCATTCACATTAATAGTAATTTCTAATCAAGATGAAGAACAAGTGATTTAAATAAAAGGGATTTGGGAGATTTTGGGTTACCTAACAGACTGAGGGGTAGTTTTTAAAAGTTTACTGATGGTAGGGGTAAATTTGGCGGAATAGTATAATGGTAGGAATAAATTTGGCCAAATAGTACAACGGAGGTTAAATGTAGACAATATCCGAAAGTATAAGGATAAATTTGGACCTTTTCCCTCTAATTAAAAGTGGGGCTGATTATTTTAGCTCAATCAGGGCTTGCCACGTGTTATTTTCAAGTTTAGAAGAGGGATTTAACAGATAAGGGATAAAATAAACTCAGCAGTAAGTGTATCTTTGTTATGAAACTGAAACGGATTGTAAATATAGCTTGTTTTCTTTGGTAGAGGGGCAAATCTGGCCCTTTTCCGTTATGTCAATCTACAGGAAAAGCACTATTTTTTTAAAACAATAGTCCTCAAGAAATAAAAATACATCAAAGTTAATCAGAAAATTACCTCAAATCTGTTTGCAGCTGCAAGGAATATATCAGGTGATGGCTTTCCTTGTTTAACTTTTGGATCATCACCGCGAACGATATGATGCATCAGTGAAAAAAGTTCACCATATCTTTGAGTTTTCAAGTCAAAATGCCGCGTGTGTGTACTGAAAATGCATTTATATTAGTTCATGTAATCTTACTTCTTAAACATTATTTTAGCTTATGTAGAATCTTACACGACTACTTGCTATACTAATTGCGGCACCAACATTAAACTTTCTAAAGAACAAAACTAAAAGAAGATGTCATACCCCGTAGCAACACAAATTGGTATTCCATTTGCATGAAGGTGATGAATCAGGCGGCTGGACCCTGTAACAGGACAAAAAGTTAAAAGATGCAAAGAGACTCGTGGATACTAATCTAATTTTGCATTAAACGAAATCAAAAGACTGAAATAAACTGTATGTACAATGTATATGCAAGTCAAGTTTTATACTTGATAGCCTCTCTATTCAGAGATAACTGTTCTAAAATTACATTACTAGACACAAGGAACTTGAAAAAATAATTATCCTAGAGGATGTTGGACAAGATTTACAAGAAAGGAGATAAGGAATTAGATTTAAGATCATGGGTGTAATTCTTCCAAGCAATTCTCAAGTCTATGTAGCTTTACTCACACAAGCTATAAATATTAATTTCAATCCTTTTGATAAGATTGAATTACGAAATTTGTCCCACGCAGACAATGCGTTCTACATTTTACATAGGGACCTACAAATGGTGAATTTTTTGGAAGGAGTTAACAGATGCTAATACACAAAATGAATATTCAAACTAACCATTTGTCATTGTGATGGTTGGAGCAGAAAGAAACTACTGCAATTAATTTCTCATGTTGGCAGAAATGTTCTAACTTTGAAGAGTGTACTACAAGAGGGTAACGGAAGCCTTTTCCTTGAATAACTAGGAAATCATATTCTCCATTTCACTTAAATATAGAATTTTCTTTTATAATTTTTTTTTGATAACAGTGGTATCGAGGCCAGCTTGAATGCACCTCCACTAAATCAATCCAGTACTTATCATCTCCTACTAGCACAAGTACCGGATAGCTCTAGCCACCTAGACTTTAGGCAAACTGGAAGTTTCATCTAGGGTCGCCTCCAAGGCTTTGAAACCCAAAATAAAGCATAAATGTTATAAGCTTTTATTTGGCATTTAAAGGTTACCTATCCCTGCATATTACCAGCTTCTTCTTTTGGGTGATGAAAACAAATGCGGAGCTATTTCCATCAAGTAAACCACAGCCTCTCCAGAACATTAAACTCAGCTAAAGCTATCCCCTACCGGTAGAAGTTTCTCGTGAAATACCATATAAGTTAGGCCCCATTAGCCGGCAAAGATAGAGATAAAGAGAAAGGATTGAAACCCCATTAGCAACTTGTATGTTCAGGCAATATGGGTGTCTCATCCTTAAGAACTGATTATTCCCTTAGCAAAACTTGGATAAAGTTGATTGCTATAAAGTAGCTTGCTTTGTATGGTTAGTTTCTGTGAGAAAGCACGGGAGAAAATATGTTATTGATATTGGATGTTCAATACAATACAAGAGGTCCTAATTTATAGCTATACTATACAAGGACATACTACTCTTATTCCAATGTGGGACAAGACTACACTATATACATAGTTGTAAACTAACACTCCGCCTCAAGCCGGTGCATACAAATCATATGTACCGAGCTTGTTACATATATAACCAATACGAGGACCAGTGAGAGACTTGGTGAAAATATCTGCAAGTTGATCATTCGACCTCACAAACTTTGTAGCAATCTCTCCTGAAAGTATCTTTTCTCTGACGAAGTGACAATCAATCTCAATGTGTTTAGTTCTCTCATGGAACACCGGATTTGATGCAATATGAAGGGCAACTTGATTATCGCACACAAGTTCCATCCGACTGATTTCACCAAATTTTAACTCCTTGAGCAATTGTTTGGTCCAGACTAGCTCACATGTTAGCCATAGTCATTGCTCGATATTCTGCTTCTGCACTAGACCGAGCAACTACATTCTGTTTCTTGCTCTTCCAGTACACCAAATTGCCTCCTACTAAAACAAAATATCCAGACGTAGAATGTCTATCAGAAGGTAATCCTGCCCAATCACCATCTGAGTAGCCAACGATCTGCTCATGACCTCGATCCTTAAACAGTAACCCTTTGCCTGTAGCCGATTTTATATACCGAATAATGCGGACAATTGCATCCCAATGACTATCACAGGGAGAATTCATAAACTGACTTACAACACTCACAGGATAAGAAATGTCGGGTCTAGTCACTGTGAGATAATTTAATTTTCCAACCAGCCGCCTATAGCTTGCAGGATCGCTAAGCGGCTCCCCCTGTCCTGGTATAAGTTTATAATTCGGATCCATCAGAGTTTCAACAGGTCTACAACCTACATCCATGTCTCCTCAAGAATGTCTATAGCATATTTTCTTTGAGAAGTAACAATACCTGAGCTAGACTGGCCAACCTCAATACCTAGAAAGTACTTCAGTCTACCCAGATCCTTAGTTTGGAAGTGCTGGAAGAGATGCTGCTTCAGATTGGTAATACCATTCTGATCATTGCCAGTAATAACAATATCATCAACATAGACTACCAGATAAATACAGAGACTTGAAGCAGAGTGCCGATAAAACACTGAGTGATCAGCTTCACTACGAGTCATGTCAAACTCCTGGATAATTGTGATGAACTTACCAAACCAGGCTCGAGGAGACTGCTTTAGACCATAAAGTGACCGACGCAAGCGACATACAAGGCCACGAGACTCCCCATGAGCAACAAAACCAGGTGGTTGCTCCATATAAACCTCATCCTCAAGATCACCGTAAAGAAAGGCATTATTAATGTCCAGCTGATAGAGGGGCCAATGACGAACCACAACCATGGATAGAAAAAGGCGGACTGAAGCCACTTTAGCCACGGGAGAGAAGGTATCACTGTAATCGAGCCCAAATATCTGAGTATATCCTTTGGCAACAAGACGGGCCTTAAGTCGATCAATCTGGCCATCGGGACTAACTTTGACTGCATAAACCCAATGACAACCAACAGTAGATTTACCTGAGGGAAGAGGAACAAGCTCCCAAGTACCACGTATATGTAAAGCAGACATCTCGTCACTCATAACCTGTCGCCATCCTGGATGAGACAACGCTTCACCTGTAGACTTAGGGATGGAAACCGAGAACAAAGAAGATATAAAAGCATAATAGGGAGATGACAAACGATGATAACTCAAACCGACATAATGAGGATTAGGGTTAAGTGTGGTTCGTATACCTTTCCGAAGTGCAATCGGTGTACTAGGAGCAGGGCCAGGTGCAGGACGAGAACCAGTTGGGCCTGATGTAGGGCGCGAACGACGATGATAAGTCAAGAGTGGTATTCCTGTGGCTGGGGAACTAGGAGGAACAACACTAGACTCCTCAACGGTTGGTATGGATGAAACCTCTGTGGTCAAAGGTGGAGGAGGAGTTATAGTAAACTCCTCAAAGGTCGGTATAGGTAAGACCTTAGATATATCATGGTGGTCAGCAAAAGTAAAGAAAGGTTTAAACTCAAAAAATGTGACGTCAGCTGACATAAGGTACCTACAAAGATCCGGAGAATAACAACGATATCCCTTCTGAACACGAGAATAACCAAGGAAGACACACTTGAGAGCACGAGGAGCTAACTTATCTTTCCCAGGGGCTAAGTTATGAACAAAACACGTGCTCCCAAAAACACGAGGTGGAAGAGAGTATAAGGGTGACTGGGGAAACAATACTGAATGCGGAATCTGATTCTTGATGGGAGATGAAGGCATCCGATTAATCAAATAACAAGCTGTGAGAACTGCATCGCCCCAAAAACGCAACGGAACACGAGATTCAATTAGAAGTGTGCGAGCAGTCTCAATAAGGTGCCTATTCTTTCTCTCAGCAACCCCATTTTGCTGAGGGGTATAAGGACAAGATGTCTGATGAATAATTCCTTGAGAAGTCATAAACTGCTGAAATTGAGAAGATAAATATTTTAAGGCATTATCACTGCGAAAAATGCGAATAGAAACACCAAATTGGTTTTTGATTTCAGCACAGAAACTTTTGAATATAGAAAATAACTTAGAACGATCTTTCATTAAGAAAAGCTAAGTACATCTTGAATAATCATTAATGAAACTAACAAAATAACGAAATCCCAAGGTTGAACTGACTCTACTAGGACCCCATATATCAGAATGAACTAAGGAGAAGGCAGACTCTGCGTGACTCTCAACACTACGCGAAAAGGAGGCTCGGGTATGTTTTCCAAGCTGACACGACTCACAATCTAATGTAGACAAACTAGATAAACTAGGCACCATCTTCTGAAGTTTGGATAAACTCGGATGTCCTAAACGTCTGTGGATTAGATCTGGAGGATCTGTAACTAGACATGTTGTGGAAGGACTGAGTGAGTTAAGGTAGTAAAGGCCTTCTGATTCACGTCCTGTACCAATTGTCTGTCCCGTACTGCGGTCCTGCATAATAAAAGAATCGTCAATAAAATATATACCACAATGGAGGGCACGAGTCAAACGACTAACAGATGCAAGACTAAAAGGACAGTCAGGGACATAAAGAACGGAATCTAGGGTGATAGAAGACAAGATATTAGCTTGTCCAACTCCTTTTGCCTTAGTTTGACATCCATTGGCTAAAGTAAAAGTGGGAAGAGACTGTGAATATACAATATTTGACAAAAGTGATATATTACCAGAGATGTGATCAGAAGCGCCTGAGTCCATGACCCATGGGCCAAGAGTGCTAGACTGGGAAACACAAGCAAAAGAATTACCAGTAACAGAAGTATCAGTCTGAGCAACTAAGGCTACTTGTGGAGATGTCTGCTTGCTCGATACTGAAGGAGCTCATTATATTCTTCTTTAGATAAAGAAAATCCCTGGTTACCTGGAGTCTCAGTCTAAGCAATGTAAGCATTTTTGGGTGAACGGCCATGTAAGGAATAACACATTTCACGAGTATGTCCAACTTTGTGACAATAAGAACACTTGGGTCTAGATCTTCCAAAACGACCTCCTCCTCGTCTATGCTTCATAGTTTGAGATGCCCGAACATCCACTGTCTGGGATGCAAGAACAGAGGAATCAAGTATATGTGATGAGATCACTGGGTGACTTGGTGCTGCAGCAAGACGGAGTAATCGAGAGAATAATTCATCAACTGTCGGGACAGTCGGACAAGCAAAAATCTGGTCGCGTACTGAATCAAGATCATTAGGAAGTCCAGCGAGGGTAAGAACGAGAAACATCTCATGTCGCTGCCCTTGTTGTTTTTCAACACTAGCAGAAACTGGCATCAACTTCTCAAATTCCTCCATGACTGCCTGTACTTGACCCAAGTAAGTAGACATATCTAATTCCTTTTTCTTTAAGTTTGTCATCCGCGATATCACATCATAGAAGCGAGATATGTCATTAGTGTATAAGGTGCGTGCCTTTGCCCAAACCAAATAACATGTCTGGAATGGACGAAACAAGGACATCAACTTGGAATCAATAGATCGCCACAAGATGCTACATAACTGAGCATCGATTTTTGTCCAAAGTGTTATTGCCTTTTCATCTCCTTCGCTAGACTGTTTGATTAGATGATCTTGAACACCTTGGCCTCTACACCACAACTCGACAGATGAATCCCAAGCTAAGTAGTTTGAACCTCCCATTAAAGGTTCTAAGGTAATAATAACACTAGAGCTTCCAGAACTCACGTTTCTAGACCCAAAAGCATCAAATCCCAAAGACATTGTTGCAAATTATTACCAAATAAGAGAAAGAATCAACTGTAATCCACTGAAACAGAGTAAGGAAACACAGAAACAGAATAATGAAATACTGAAGCAGCCAGAATCTTACTGTAGCTGTCGGAATAGTACTGTAGCAGCCGGAAAAACTCAAAGTGGTCGGAATGAAATGAAAACAGTAGGGGTAGGATAAGAATTACCAGGCGACCCAACTGTTCTGAAGGAAGTTTTTCAAAAATTGGCCAGAAGTGGTCGTATGCGCCGGCGCGTGAGCTTCTGGTGGCGCGTGGAGGCGCGTGAAGAGGCTGCTGCCGGAGATTTTCACTGGGGTTTGGTCGCCGGACAGTGACTACTCTTGTGGTAGTGTTGGATTTTGCACAACACTAACGGAGATAAAGCAGACGCAAACAGCCTTGAAAAAGTCGCCAGAAAAAGACTTCCGGTGACTGATTTCTCTTCCCGGAGTCGCTGGAATTTATGCACATCGATAAATCTCTCACAATTGCTCTGATACCATGTGAGAAAACATGGGAGAAAATATGTTATTGATATTGGATGTTCAATACAATACAAGAGGTCCTTATTTATAGTTATACTATATTAGGACATACTACTCCTATTCCAATGTGGGACAAGACTACATTATATACATAGCTGTAAACTAACAGTTTCTAAAGAGGCATGCCTGACTCAAGAAAACTTGAAGAGAAAGGGCATCAAGTTATGCTCTAGATGCTTTTGTATGTGGGAAGGAGTCCGAGACCATCAACCACCTTTTCATTCACTGACCAGCTGTGGCAATTGTTTCTTAGTATGAAAGGAATTAAGTTGGGTTATGCCTAAGCCCACAGGAGATCTGCTAATGTTGAAACAACATGGGAGGTACAATGAAGCAGAAGAGATGATGGAGCTCGATTCCAGCATGGATATGGTGGACAGTATGGCAATGTTATCAAAGGCGCGCTTAAGCCCTGAAGCGAGACTCAAAACATGTTGAGCGCTTCGCTTCGCTTAACAGGCGCTTCAGTGTTGTCATCAAGGCTCTAAGGCATATTTTTCCTTGCTAATGAGCGTAATCCGGAAGACGCGACACTAAACAATTGATATTTCACTTTATCGTAAATTTTCTTCAATTTCTTTGTCCATATATTTGGTATTCATGCTTATAGATATTAGTCTTGGACTACACATACATATTTGTAGTTTTTCTCCTTTTGCGCCTTTCTTCATTAAAGCCCACGCTTTATTTGTGCTTTGCGCTTAAAGCTCCAATAGACCTTAGAGCTTTTTTGCGCTTTTCGCTATTGATAATACTGCAGTATGGATGGAAAGGAACTTAACGTGTTTTGAAGGAAATGCAGCCCTTTACAGAAAGTTAAGATGAACTGTATGATGCTATTTTATTTTTAGCAGATATCATTGGATCCTTGTAAGACCTTTTAGGGTCTCTTTTTGGTGATCTTTTTGCTCTGTATATACGGCTTCAACACAGCCTTTTACCTTTCACAAAAATAAACATTAAAGCATAAGATCTCGTCTCGTTTTCAAGAGACATGAGAACGCGACCCCCTGCCTTTTCTCTTTCACAAATTTCACAAATAGGAAGTTTAGAATTCGACTTGAATATTGTAGGGATCACCAGATATAATACAAAAATTTTCCACCTGTCCCTACTTGTCTATTTAGCACTATTCAAAACTTAATTTGACATCTTTTGGATCAACTTTTTATATATAACGGTGGTGTCCATGCTAGTTTGTGCACACCTTGACAGTTCTAACTATCACTTCAGAGTATCTTTTTCATGCTAAAAGATAAAAATGCATTCACATGGTTTTTCACCTGAAGCTAAAACCTGAAATTTGTGAAATATACTGGTTGAGAAAATGGAAAACTGAATGTGAGAAGAACTTGTAGGAAAACCAGCATTTTCTGGAAACAAAAGATTTCTTTAATAAATAAAAAGAAAAATGGCTCTTTCGGTCACATCTCATGACGGAAGGGGTTATTGGAAAATCAATAGACTGATAAAAATGAAGGAATGATGTAACAGTCAGAAGAAACAAAACGATGATTACTGAAGCTAAACTCAAAAGTAACTTTACAGAGAAAATTTGCAGAAGGGACCATCAAAGGGAACTTGGTCAAAAAGGAAGGTGGCTACTCCATGCCATTTTCAGACAAATAACCAATCCCGTAAATGTCTGCTACTCTTATGTAGAACACTGAGGAAGGGTGAGAAAGCTGAAACTTGAGAAATGAATAAAGAAAAATAATCTGCCACTAGTGCGTAAACTTGTACCTGGCATGAGGTCACTTGTGGGAAACATTTTCTGCAACATTTCCTCTCTTTCTACAAGAAAATCTTCAGCTGTAAGTGAATCACTTATTCCTGTCTCTTCAACAAAGACCCTGGCAGCCTCTATCGCCTTCTTCCCCATCATCTTTGCCTTGAGTGACCAATCAAAAGTCTTATTATACCTAGCAAGTATAATCTCCTGGACCTCCGTATAGAATTTCTCCGTGTCTGATACACAAAAGAAAAGCAACACAGAAGCTAGTCAACCAAGACTTGTCTTCAAGTAGCAACTATTCAACAACACAAAGATTTCCTTGTTTCTTTCCAATAGAATCCAACAAACAGGAAAAGCCTGGTAAATATCAATCTCCCCTTTGATCCCCTAAGTTAACAATCTATCCTCAACTGTTCTTCCCATTACTTAGAAGCTCTTTTTTTTTCAAAGAAACAGACTGGAGTGTCCTAATATATCACATGATGTGAAAAACATTAAATCCAAATCAAATAAAAAGCCATGCAGTGTCCGCTGTGGTTAAACCACATACGTATACCCAAGGGGCATAACAGATTTGGATGTGTGAATTTGTTCTATGGTTATTTAAGTTATATAACTTGGGTAACAAAAGAAAATTCAAAATAACAAACTCTTGGATTGAAAAAGTAAATGACCTCACTAAAAATCAAATGAAACAGAACATGGATCCTTTTTCTAAACTTCAAGATCCCCTATAAGAAATCAACATCAATCTTACTGTTGCACTGAGAGAACGAGAGACTAGATTTTTTTTCTTTGGTTGACAAAGAGGGAACTAGATTTCTTTTGACATTTATAAATCTCAAAGCGCAACAAGCTTTCTAGCGTATAAGAGTTTGTTGAGTTGTCCCATATCGTTGGAATGTGGAACATTTGCTCACCTTATATGGTCCTGCGCAATCCTCACTTCATGAGATTGTACACCTCTAAGAAAAGTAGAAGATAAAATAATGCATGGCAGAGGAGACTTTCTCTAACTATCCCGTTGCTAATGTTTCCTCTACAGATGCACACCAGTGTAAGGTTTCTACTGAAAAGAATCATACCAGCGTATAGGCAGTGAGTAATAAGTCATTAAAGCAAAGAAAGCAATTCTTTTTCTGCTATGGTAGCATGCTATCAGAACCACCAAAGCTCAGTAATTTACTCTTCATTCCTTTTAATTAGGGGAAAATATAATCAAAGAGCTAAGAAAGGCCATTTTGTTTTCTTTGATAGGTGAGAAATGTCTAAGTCTTGAGTAACTTACATACCAGATATGTGAATGTTACATCAGAAAGACATAGACATACAAATGCCTATACATGCTTGAGGAACACACTTATTATACCATCTTCATTAGAATGTTTAGTGGCTTAATCTACCTATAGAGAAAAGTAGTAATAGTATATAGCAGAAGACTAATCTTGACTAATCTTCTCTGCATAAGAAATGGCCTAATGGTCACAAGGTCTCACTTATTCTTGACTAATCTTCTCTGCATAAGAAATGGCCTAATGGTCACAAGGTCTCACTTAAAGAGACTAGATATTGTAGAGTTGTTCACATATCACTTATCATTGACAACTTATGGTATCAATAAGAAAGGCAACTTCAGAATTCCAAATCAAATAATGCCCTCAAGCAGCGGCTGATTGTTTTGTTGCACCGCATGCGCTCAATATTCTTCCACGAATGAAATTTTACCCTTCAAAAGCTTTTCTAAATTTTTAAAAATGCCTTACGGAATTACTTCTGTCCCCTCCATCCCCTAAGATTTTTATTCAGAAGTTCCGTTAAGTATTGTCAAATAGATGAGCTTCCCTACCCTATTTTTACAAATCCTGAGTCTATCACAGCTGGCAAGATATAAAATCAAAAGCACAGTCAGCTCACAAAAGGAAGAAATAAGAGGGGCATATATAGATTGTGGTCAGAAATCAATAATAGAAAATATGATTAAGATTGATTATGATTGAAAATAAGGGTAGAACATATCACACTCAAGTTTTTTAACTTCACTTCCCCAATGATCACAAATTTTACGACATCCAAAGAACAAACAATTTAAGCAAATGATTGCATACCAAAGGTATACCAACCCTTGAAAAACTAAAACAATAACAACCACCCAGTATAATCCCACTAGTGGAGTCTGAGGAGGATACTGTGTACGCAGACCTTACCCCTACCCTGGGTTAGAGAGGCTATTTCCGATAGACCCTCGGCTCCCTCCCTCCAAGAACTCCCCATCTTGCTCTTGGAGTGACTCGAACTCACAAACTCTTGGTTGGAACCCACTCTTTCCAACCCTTGAAAAACTACTTATAGGAAATTCCTACAAGCACATTACCAGTTATTGGCAAAATGGGCAATTGGGTCAAGAAACAGTGGGCATTGCATTCTCAAGTCATCCAGATTTGCAAAATAGAATGGAAATATAGTAAATCAAGTAAGAAAGATCTTATAATAATGATATATACACATATATACCTAGAAGAAGGCCGTCCATGTCAAAGATTACGTGAGTGATTGAGGCTTTTCTTGCAGATGAAGCATCACTGCTGCCCTCATTCGCCATTATTTTAACAACTTTTAGCTTCGAGTAGCCCACAACAACCTGCAAGCGCTTAAAATTTGGGGAGATCTGTAAGCTTATTTTTTGTTAGCCTCTCGGCTTAATTTGAAGGTGTCTCGTTTATTTCCCTTCCGGTAGAAAATGCACTAAAGCAGTACTGATGGCCCATACTATTTAGTTGACGTATGATGGGTTTAATTGAGTTTTTAGCGTATTAGCTGGTTGAACAATATTTAGTTGACAAAAAAGTTTTCTTACGCTCACAAAATTTTAATTTTTTTTAATAAAATACATGTCCAAACACAACTTTATTTTCCAAAAGATATTTTTCAATACAACTTCAAAAACTCTTTTTTCAAGTTTCAACCAAATCTAGGTCCAACGCTAGAAGTTGCATATAAAAGAGTATTTATTCCTTTATAAGGTGTTTTTGGTAGGAATGAAAATATTTTCTGGAAAATAAATATTTGGTAAGTAGGCAAAAAATATATCCCGAGAGCATTTATGTATTTTCTAAGCAAATACTATAAGGTTGAGGTGGGGTGATTATATTTGAAGGTAAGGGTGGATATACGCAGAGGGGGCGCATCCCTACCCAAAATTTTCACTTTAACTGTTACGCGTCGCCTTCCAGAGATTCCTTGAAAGGGCGACGTAAGGCTAAGCAACTGATGTCAGTATAGTTATTGTCCGCCAACTAAGGTCCCCTCCGTACGCTAGACAAGATTGTCAGTGTCGTACGGGAAAACCAATATCAAGAGCAATTGAGAGAACAGAAATGAGGATTGAGAAAGAAAGAAAGCTTGGTTGCATTAATGAAAGCTACTACATAAAAGCAACACGGTGTTGAGGGGGAGAGTCATCATGTTATGCCTCGCATTATTACGTCGATGTTATGCTCCGCAATATTATATTACGACGATGTTACACTTTGTAGTATTATACGTTGAATTTGTCGTAAGATAATTGACATCAGTTCAAGGACAAGATTATTTGGAGATTATAAGTATTATGCAATTTCAAACAATTGATGAGTAAATTCGTGAAGGTGAAAGGGTAAACGAATCAAAGAAAATGAATTTCGTCAAAGTTTGACATTTTGGGATAAAATATGGCCCGAGCTAAAATATCTGGTATTTATGGACTAGTACCATATAAGGTACCACATGACCATGATAGCAAGATGTATAAGGTGTGTTAAAAGTGAGTAGTATTTTAAGTAATTTGGAATAATTATTAATTATGCGGGTAATTGGTTAATTATCGGGTAACGAAACATTACCTAATTACCTAATAAGTGGATAAAGATTAAACTTTCCAACCCCATCCCTACGTGACAGCAAGCCACATCTCAAAGGAATGACTCTTAGTCATTCTTATTAGGTGGCAACCTAATATTCCAAATACAAGGCATTTCAATTCAAAAGAATTTCCATACAAAGATACTACAATGATAAGTGGGGACGTTAGTCAGGAATTTCAACAAATTCATTCTCAAGATACTACAATCATATTTTAACATTTCCATACCAAAGACTCTACCAACAGAAGTGAATTCATTTAAGCTTTCAACAAATCTCATTCTCAAACACTACAATTAGAAATGGAGGAAACGTTCGCCATTCTTAGGAGTTTTCAACTTTTCATTTTCAAACACTTGAATCAGATTCCAAATATTACATTAAGCAACGTGATTCTTCAACCAACCCAATGAGAATTATTGGAACTTTAGCAACGTAAAATTTTGCGATTCTAACGTAGTACGGTGCAACCTTTTTCCAAGAATATCATACGGATTTTTTCCTACTCCAGGTATGTTAAGGTTATCCCTTCTTTCTTTTTGGCATGATCAATTAGATACAAACGAAACGAGCAAATGCACAATTTCCATAAATGACTATATTCATAGAAATATTAGGAGTGTATATATTTTTGATTCCCCATGTGAATTATTATTATATCTTTTGTTCATGGGTCTCAGAAAAATACGTATTTGATAAAATTTATACGACAGGCATATTATTTTTATGACATTGCGAGAAAATCTTTTTAACGTATTTCTCAAGGCATATTATTTTTATGACATTCCGAGAAAATATTATTAACGTATGCATTTCAAACATTTATACATATATATTGACCCATGACCAGATGGCGTTATATACGTGTATATATGTATATTATATGTATATGAGATATGGAAAGAGGTTATGGCGTTATATACGTACCACCACCTGATCAGCTGGTATACATTGATGATTTGCCCACAGTGACCGAAATGATATGATGGGATACCCTCAGAGGCTTGATGATGTTATAAACACATATACCTATGCATGGTATGACATTTATACGCATATGCATGGCGTTATAAAAAGTGAAATGATTCACAGATCTATGCAGACATACATGTCGAGTCTTTTACTCCATGTTTCTCTCATGTCTATTATTTACTGATTTTTATTCCTTACATACTCGGTACATTATTTGTACTGACGTCCCTTTTTCTCGGGAACGCTGCGTTTCATGCCCACAAGTCTCGATAGACAGGTAGAGAGTCCTCCAAGTAGGCAATCAGCTCAGCGGAAGATGTTGGTACACTCCATTTGTTCTGGAGTTGCTTATGTGGTTAGTATGATTAGGGCATGTACTGATTAGTATGGCGGACCGTGTCTCGACCTTTATGATATTTATGTACTCTTAGAGGCGTGTAGACATATATCGTGTACGTGAAAGATTGTACGGTCGTGTCGGCCTATGTTTTGAGTTTATAAATGATGATGTTGGCCTATTAGGATGGTATGTCACATGTATATGATGATGTAATAAGAAAGATACGTTATGTTGGTACTCGGTTGAGTAAGGTACCGGGTGCCCGTCGTGGCCCATTGGTTTGGATCGTGACAAAAGTGGTATTAGAGCAGTTCTGTCATAGGGAGTCTACAAGCCATGTCTAGTAGAGTCTTGTTTATGGGTGTGTTATGCACCACACTTATAAGCAGGAGGCTACAGGACATTTAGGACTGTCACTCTTTCTTCTTACTTAAGATCATGTGGTAGAGCTCAGTTGTAGGAACTCAATTTCCTAAACTTTATCTTATTCCTAATATGACGATGCCTACGTCTAGAAAGACGGTTGGTAAGAGATGTGGTTGTGAAAGAGTTGAGTAAGAGGAACTCGATTTTACATGATGCTTATGATGGATAAATATGAGGTATTCAGCAGATCATATGAACACTAAGACGTGTAAGCCTCTTTATAAGGAACCTTAAGGCAAGAACATTTATCCACCTTTATGGTGAAAGACAATGAGAGATTCAGAAGATAAATACAAGTTTCAAAAAGTAAAAGAATCAAGATGAAAAAGGGTACGAGGTATCCAGTTAATAAAGATTATCATTATTTACCATTCAGGAAGGGAGATATAAGCATTTTGAGTTACCTTCAACAGTGGCAGCTATATGTACAATCGGCCACACCGATCTCAGTTATGCCCTATGGGAGCTAACAGACATAGTTTAAGAGAAGGACGAGTTATCAGGATACGACTGGGGATAGAGTAACCCAAAATAGTGGATGGATTGGTAAAGTTAGTTGACATTTCCGAAGGATAGTGCAAATGTGGTAATGGATCTCCTTGTGAGACACCTTGATGGTGCACCCTAAAATAGTACAACTAGATATGAGTACTACAAAGATAAGTACTAGAAGCCTGGAAGGGATAAATATTACCTTAGTGTGGCTCGCGTCCCTAGTAGAGCAAGAACGTTAAGCAACCCAAGAGCCACTGTATGGAGCAAGGGTAGCTAAAAGCAAAAGAATGTCTTGTTCGAGTTTTCAGAATAAAGTAATAGACATAAATGTTAGCGGGAAATAAGAAAAGAGTTAATGAAGCATTATGAGTAAGATATGATACATGGATGACAACGGTGGATCAAAAAGATGACAATATTACAGAGTTTAAAGTCAATTGAAGGAAAAGATGAGAAGTGACAGGCCTTGAGACAACAAAAGAGTATAGGCCATAAAGTCATGTCCTCGTTTCAAGAAATAAGTTCGTAACTCCAACGCGACTACCGGAAGGAAAAGTTAGACTCCAGAACAATAGAAACCAGTATGGGCTGGTGAACAAGATAAACTAAACATGAATTAGGGATTGAGTGATTGGATAATAGTCAGCATCATGAGAATTTCAGATTTCATTCCGGCGATAATAGAGTGGACAACAGAAGAAGATTCATGAGAAATTCAGAGAATGGTCATTCAGGAAGATGCTTTCCTAAAGCAAGCAAGGTGAGTAAAGTTAAGCTTAAGGGACTGTATGTGCCAGTTACACTAAGTGTCACCCTCGTGAGTGAGTAATTTCGTTATCCTTGGTACTGAAGGATTACCGCGAGGCGAGTAAGGATCATTGATAATGTGAAAAGATGCCAAAAATGAGAGGGTTAAACATCTATACGTAGATCATCATAGTACTAAATCTTAGTGCTCCCATAAAGGGGGAATATGGTGTGATGTGGTATTAGGTCAGAATTAGGTGGTTCTAGTAACTATGGAAATGGTAAAGAAAGAATGTGATAATAAAGAAAAAATAATTTAAGATTACACTTATTCAAATCTTACAGATATGCTACGATTCCAGAATATTATGCAAACATGACGTTAAGGAGAGGAGGTAAGGGTTCTTGTCTGAGATGTTATTGATAGATAAGGAGCCAGTGCGGGACGTAAGTTAAGATAAAGAAAATGACCCATGAAAGATTACGCAGAATATTGATATGAGAATGAGCTAATGAGTAGTTAGTAGTTGATTCAGGAAGAGCCTAGTTATGGCTAGACAAGAGGATACAGACAAATCAATAGATCGGGCAAGATAAACGGAGTGAACCCCAATATGGGGAATTAAGTCTCGCAGATATGACATCGTGACCTTGAGAAATATTCGGATAAGAGTTGGGTTAGTTAAAGATATCGTATGAGTATTAAGGGAAGACAGTCAAAACTTCAGTTCGGGAGCAACCGTACAAGCATATAAGTATGAAGGTAAGTAACTAAGGAATTTTATATGTGAGTACGAACATCAAAAATTCCGTTAAGTATACGATATAATAAGCTCGCAGCTTCACAAGAGTCAGAAGATCTTCCCTAAGTACTACAATGAAA